GTAGCAGAAGTTCCAGCAGCAGTAGGTCTCAACATACGCGAAGGGAAAAGCAAGATTCTCCGATACACACACATCATGCACCAACCCAATTCTACTTGACGGAGAAGCTTTTGGAGATGTAAAAACCTCCACATATCTGGGCAGCATCATTAATGAACACGGTGGATCCGATGCAGACGTGAAGGCGCGGATCGGCAAAGCAAGAGCTGTATATTTACAACTGAAGAATATCTGGAATTCAAAACGACTATCAACCAGCACCAAGGTCAGCAATTTCAATACAAATGTCAAGGCAGTCCTACTGTATGGGGCGGAAACCTGGAGAACTACGAAAATCATCATCCAGAAGATACAAGTGTTTATTATTATTATTATTATTATTATTATTATTATTATTATTATTATTATTATTATTATTATTAATGGCTTTATTCAATATTATATTTTGGTACAATATAGAATTCTCAGCACAGGGTATTTCAACAAGTTACTTACTGAAAAAAAAAACGAACAAATAGGCAGTAGCAAATACAAAAAAGAAATTTTTTAAAAATAAAAAAAAATTTTTTTTAAATAAATTCTAAAAAAAAGACCAAAAAAAACTGTGCAAACTTTTTAAAATTAAAGACATGTTAAGAATGCAGATTATTGACTAGGTTAACTCTAACAACCTGTTCGTCACATAGTATATTTGCTAGGTAAGGTATTATAGAACTTTTATACTTTTCCTTACGTGCATGGATTTTAATGTAATTACGTCTCGTTCTACCAGAAGATATACAAGGAGAAAGATAAGAGTGAAGGGGATGGTTAGTATCGGATAAAATAACACCTGCCAAGAGTTTGCATGATTTTAAATGTCTATCCAAAACCATATTAATTATGACCTGGAAAGATTCACCACACATCTTGCTAACTGCCTTCAGCACTCTTCGCAATACAGCAAAGTCTTTTCTCAAAAGCCCGGGAAAGAATAATGGAGAACAGTAAAGAATAATAGGTAAAATGCAAGAATTGACAAATTGTAAGAGTAAATGACGAGTAATCCCAAGAGCATGCAATCTCTTTATGTAGTAGGTCAGACGGAAAACCTTCTTCGATAACGATAAAACGTGGGAAGACCAAGACAGATCAGAGGAAAAGGTGACACCAAGATAATTGACCTTCGACACTGAGTTTATAAAAGAGTCTCCGATGGCACAAGCATTATGGGATCTCAAAATGGTGTTTATATTCCGTTCATGTCTCATGCTAAAGTTAACAGCTTGACATTTAGACGGATTAAGTATGAGACCATTACCAACAGACCAACAATCAATACGAGACAAAAACTCATTCATTTCTATGGGATGTAAAGAGGAAGATATAGGCATACATACAGTGAGATCATCCGCATACTTCACAAAAGTGTTTTCTGTAGAAGATGGCAGGTCATGCAGAAAAAAAGAGAATAGAAGAGGTGAAAGAACAGCTCCTTGTGGTACACCTTCCTGAGACAGTAGAGACTCCGAACACTTTCCTCCAAACACAGTGTACTGTTCCCTTCCAGAGAGGTAGGAACATAGCCAGTTGGTTATCCAACTGTCAGTGTTGACGCTGACTAACTTGTTAAGTAAACGTTGTCTTGGTATAGAGTCAAAAGCTGAAGTATAGTCCAGAAAAGCACAACGAACATACTTCTTACCCTTTTCTAAGTTGAACACTATGTTGTGGTGCAGAACTGCAACAGCATCTAAAGTGCTTCTTTTGCGCCTGTATGCAAACTGGTATGGGTCAGTATGCTCTTTTATCGCAAGGTGAAGTGGAAGTATTAATAATTTTTCCATGGTTTTGAGGAAGGGTGAAGTTATTGCAATAGGTCTAAATTTTACATTCTTATCACCAGATGCTTTCTTGTGTACAGGAATTATCTTCATCTTTCTCCACATTTTCGGTATGAGATTAGATGAGAAGGATCTGTTAAATATAGTTGTGAACGGATGACACAGAACGTCAGCACATTTTTTAAAAAGGATGTTTGGGATACCATCAGGTCCCAAACATCGAGATGAATTAAGCGATCGGAGACATCCTCGTACATCAGTTTCAGTGAAAGTGGGAACACAGCTATTTTTTAAACCCGTGGATAGAGGGAGCATCACATCAGATGACTGACGAACAAAAGACTTATTTAAGTCACTAACATTCAGCTGGTTATCGCTTCTAAACTGTCTGTCGCCTGTAAGTTCTTTAAAGAGTTTCCACATACTTGGAGTGTTTCTGCAAGATAAGAGCTTTTGAGTAAACATGCAGTTGAGACGTCTAATCTCTAGCTTCATCAGACCATTTAGCTTACGAACTTTATTAGAGTTCTTCTCCTTGTACATTCTTTCTTTCATCCTTCGTAGTCGTTTTAGTTGTGTAGATGTAAATCGATCAAAACTTACAAAAATGGTTTCAGTGGGACAGCAAATATCAAAACAGAATTTAAGGTAACAAGTGATAACATCAGTAGTGTTTTCGAGTGAGTCATCTGTAAATAATTCCCAGTTAGTCGTATGAAACATGCTTTTCAGATTTCGGATATTTTCTTCTGAGTAATTCCTATATTTGACTTTCTTGGTTTGACGTAAGAGTGTACTCTTCTCATGCTTTCCATATACTTTAGGTAGAACACGAATTATACAGTGATCTGAGCTAGACAATGGAGCACGTTTACGAGTCGCATATATACCCACATCATTAATGAAGACGAAGTCTAGATAAGCATCCAAACGGGTAGGAAAATCCACTACATTTTGGTGACCCAGTGACGTAAGGAAGCTACAGTCACATGAATTGAAGTCACCACATACGACTGAAAGTGAATCACTGAAGGCAGTAAGAGCGAACTCAGTGAATTCATCAGCAAAATCAGATAGTGCAGATGATGTGCAATCTGGAGTAACGTAGATATTGGTAACATAAACATATTTGTATTTATTTAGATGTTTTGGACGACATCTTAGAGTTAGACAGTCGATAAAGTCATTTGAAAACTTAAAACACACAAACGAAGATCGACACCAGTTTATGTTTACAAACGTAGCTACACCGCCACCAGACCTCTTTTTATTGTTCGATCGATCCTGACGATAAATTTTAAAATCACGTAGTGATACAAGGCAGTCATCCTGTAAACCATTCAACCAAGATTCTTGAATTGTGATGACACCACAATTACGATACGTATTTTGACTAAGTAGGAATTGCAGATAGTCCACTTTGTTGATTAGTGACCGGCAGTTAGAATTAAGAAGCTCGGGAATCGACATACGATTAATGTTCATTCTCTTTAACGCATATTGCCAACCACCACGATGTCTTTTATAGTACTTTTTCGTAACTTGTGCAGCGAAAGGTCGTAAGCTTTTCATAAAAGCGCCTGAATAGGTTATGCGATTAATGGACATAATTATAAATTAAAACAAATAAAAAAACAGATAACTTGTTGAAATAATCAGATGGCAGAAACAGGTAGCCCAGATATTCAAGCAGGCCGCTCAAAAAAAACAGCTGTCTACGCAAAATACTTTGGATCCATTGGGCAGACACTATCAGCAACAACCTACTGTGGGAGAGAACAGACCAGACTCAACCGGAGGAAGAAATCAAGAAGAATCGTTGGAAGTGGATAGGACACACATTGAAGAAAGCACTTAACTGCGTCACAAGACAAGCCATCACTTGGAATACTCAATGCCAAAAGAGAAGAGGAAGACCAAAGAACATATTACATTGAGAAATGGTAACAGACATGAAAAGAATGAACAATTAGATAGAACTAAGAAGAAAAATCCAGGATAGAGTGGGTTGTAGAATGCTGATAGGTGGCCTATGCTCCATCGGGAGTAACAGACGTAAGGAAGTAAATAATATCCCAATGAGTAGGAGAATTATATATATATGACTTAGTGTAAGCCACTTATTCAAAGTAAATAAATATAACAAGAATATATTTATTATTGGTATCTAATCATGTTTATTTTGTACTTAGCAGATAAAAAAAGTATTTTGCTGAAAATTGTCTTAAATTTCTATATGACTCTATTCAAGAAGAGTTTTATCAATAATTCAGTCTTACATACTTATACCTGTTACTCCATATGGAGGAGCATAGGCTTCCTACCAACATTTTCCATCGATATCTTTTCTTGACAATCGTTTCCAGTTGTTTATCATCCTTTGTATATCTGCTTCCGATTTCCGACGCAATGTATTCTTTGACCTTCTTTTTCCTTTCGCTTCAGGATTTACAGTTAGCGCATGCCATATGATGCGCTTCGATGATTTTCTCAATAAGTAGCCTATCCATTGCCTTTCTCAAGCCGAGATAAAGCAAGAGGGTAGGGTATGAGGTCAACAATCTCATCTCATAGAATACAACTTTGATAATTAGATTGAATAAAAACTCATTCTTGCAAAATATAATTCACAGTTGATTAACACATTTCATTTATAATTTCAGTCATAAACGTATACAACTTCCTAATAACTTTTTTTTTTATAATAATGGAAACAAACATGGTGGTCTAGCTTCAATTGACTCATGATTTCAATCAGCGAAATTTCTAAAAATCTCCACAAAATCCCTTCTGATAATAATCATCTACTCACTAGTGACTGACTTCAAGAGATACTTATGGAGTTCTAGTGAGAAGGCGTTACCAGTAGAGTTCAGCCAGGTCTGTTGTGAGATATGAACTTACTGAAGACAATGGTGTACGGTGGCGTAACTTCGTGGATTGATTGAATCCAGACATTAACACCGTTGGATTCCGACTCAGTGGTCTAGTTGGTTAAGCGCTTGGCGCGAGACTGATAAATCCCGGGTTCGAATCTCGCGGGGTGCGGGATGATGGGTGAGCACTGCTGAGGAGTCCCATACAAGGATGAAAAAGCCGTCCAGTGCTTCCAGGTTTTCCATAGTGATCTAGCTTCAATTAACTCATGATTTCAATCAGTGAAAAAAGAACAAATGTTTATAAAGAAATATAATACTTGTAATTTATATAAATAAATCTTTCCTCCCTGTTTCTCTCTCTAGAAAATACAAAATCTAATCATTCAAATGAATAACTATTGAAACATAAGGTAAATATCATTAAGGTAACATATATCTCTAATTCAGTATGAATTTAGGATCCATAGATCATGGATAATGATCTTTCTATAGATTCATCTATAGGAACTTTCATACTTCTTTTAAATAATCCAATGAAATCATCTTGTTAGTATTAAAGCTGAGTAGTAAAGTGATTACAATAACCTCACATTAAATCATTCTAGACAATATATAATACTTAATTTCATATCATAGAATGAATATCAATGAAGGAAAGAAAGAAAAAAAAAAAGAAAAAAGGATGATAAAAAAAGAAACAAAAATCAATCTTATTATACTACTTAAATACATTTTCTAAATTTTAAAAGAAAAAAAACAAACAATTAATTCATTAATGGTGGATTCATGTGTTATTCATTTAGGATGGGAATCGAACAAGTATAATCATGAACGGGAGGGAGGGAGTTAGGGACAGACAGAGGGAGAGAGTGTGTGTGTGTGATTGAAACAAGAATAATACACTCAAATATGATGGTAAATATTCAAGGACATAAAAATGATACATTCAAACAAGGAAATCAATTAAAAGCAAACGAATATATAAATCCATACAAATAATAATAATAATATTGTTGCTAGGGAAATAAATCTCATATGCATGATAAAACAAAAACTAGAAAGAACAAAAAAAAGAGGAGAAAAATCATTCAATTATTAATTTCTACATAGTTTCGTTCTTTTCTTCTTCTTCCTCTTCAATAAATCAATAAAAAATCAACAGAAAGAAAATAAGTAAACAAACAAACAAACAAAACAAAACAATAAACAAATAATAACACAAATAGTTATACATACTTATTATTGTATTTTAATTAAGATTCATTAAAATTGTTTAGCTTTATTAATATATTCATATAATACTTTGAATGGTATCATTGTATAATCAGATAATTGATGATGATCGAGATCATGATTATGATTAGAATATGATAAATCCCATAACGTTTTTAATGATAATGGTTTACCAAGATAAATTAAACGAAACCATAAATCATTTAGATTATCATTATCTGAATGTAATGTGTTAGATTGCACAATGGATAACTTGGATGATGATGATGGCGATGACGGTGATGATGATGTTGATGCTGTTGTATATAATTCAAATATAATATCAGCAGCAAATGGTGGCCAACAACCATCGAATACATTTAAACCAAATAATAATAACATAATTGATGAATCATGACATGAATATAAATGAAATTGTGGTACTCTATAGAATGCAATATTGGAAGGAACAAGAAAAAAAAAGAAGAATATTAATGGCTTAATTTGAATAAACAAAAAGATCTAGTGAATTGAATTGTACAATATTGAATGGATCAAGATCATATATCATTAGTGATTCATGAAAAGTATTCTATGATAGGAATATAGTATTCACTAGGAAATAAAGTAATTATCGAAATATAACAAGTATCGAATAAAGAATTCGTTCTATGTTGAGACTCTGTAAAGATGTTTCCAATCATAAAGTTAACATTGTATCTAGATTCTCTAATGAATGTCAGTTTGTAACAAACAAAAAAACTAATTTTTAATTAAATTTTTATACTAATAATTAAATATTGTATGTCATAACGACAACAGGAATCAATTCGGGATATTTAGAACTTAACTATTTACTTAAATATGTTACTCTTTCGTGGAGGAGTATAAGCCGCCAACCTTACTGAATTACGCTTGTTACTGCTCGTGAAGGAGCATAGGCTACTCACTAGTATTCTCCATCCAACCCTGTCTTGAGCAATCCTTTCTAACTCTTTCCAGTTGTTATTCATCCTTTTCATATTTGTCTCTATTTCCCAACGTAATATGTTATTTCGCCTTTCTCTTTTCCCTTTCCCTTCGGGATTTCAAGTTAGCGTTTGCCTTGTGATTATAATAATTATTTATTTATATTCTGAAAATAATAATTAAAGAATTCACACCAGTTTACAGGCATGATCAATTTGATATAAATAGTAACGTTAGACATGCAGAACAAACATGTGATAAAAGAAAGTTTTAAGTATACTAGTTCAGTAGTTATTTAAGTAGTACATATATTACAGTGATCCAATGCATCAGCCGGGAATTTTTAATATTTCTTAAATGGATAGCCTATTGATTTATGAACGGAGTAATTAAGGTCAATTCGTGTGCCAGATCGAATTAATGATAATTATCTACAACTAGAGAAATTAAAACGAAAACAGAGAGCACGGAACAACAAAGCAGTAATTACCAAAATATGTCAATCAGGTCTATCAAAATGTGTGTATCATGTGACACAGTGATATACTGTTGATGTTATTCGAATTAGTTAAACTTGTTAGGGACGGTGATAACATATTGACAGCAAGTGGGTGGTTTTACTTAGGGAATTCACGAATAAAGATGGTTAAATATTTAAGGTTCCTAAAATATCACTTGTGGAATAAGATACACTTACAGGTGCTAGATACAGTTTGATGATTTTCGTAATGTATGTCCTATTCATTTCAATCGTTTTTTCCTAATTTTTTTTTCAGTTGGAAGTTGGTTTGTTCTCTCATACAGTAGGCTATTGCTGATGGTATCCGGTCAATGAATGTTGAGTATCTTGAGGAGACAACTATTTTTCAATACTTGTACCCTTTTGATGTTGGTTGTGATAGTTCTCCAATTTTCAGCTCCGTATAGTAGAACTGTCTTGACGTTCATATAGAACATTGTGACTTTGAAATTGGTTGACAGTTATTTTGAGTTCCATATGTTCTTCAATTGTGGGAATGCTGTCCTTGTTTTACCAATCCTCACATTTACGTCTGCATCTGATACTCCTTGTTTATCGATGATGCTTCTCAGGTACTTGAAGGATTCCACATCTTCCAGAGTTTGCTCCATCAAGTGTGATTGGATTGATATTCTCCGTGTTGAAATTGAGGACCTTGGTTTACACCTTGCGGCCTACTGATGAAGAGACTGCTGCTACATTGGCTATCTTTATCTGCATTTGTTTGTGTGTAAGTGATAGAAGGGCTAGGTCATCTGCGAAGTCCAACCAGAATTCCATATATATGCAGTATAAGTTTAAAACTCAAGAAAAAAAGAACGATACCACCAAAAATATTCAAACACTAATTTATCAAGTACAAGGAAATCAACCAGGTAGTCTTTATCCGTTAAGGCTGTCCACTTATTCAATTTTTGTTTAACTTCATCATAGACCTACTGATGGAAATAACATTCTCGTCGACTGAATTTTCGAGCATTGAACTCCTTCCAGGAGGTTCACTTATCGACTTAGAATACGAAGATGATATAGTCCTGTTTAGTGAACACGCTGACAAAATGCAGAGTCCTTTGATAGCACTGAGCAACAATGTCAGAATGTTTGGGAAGCGTTTCTCTGTCTCAAAATGAGAGTTGTTGCTTCAGGACTGATCTTTGTCAACACCTGAACTAAGGATAGGGAGTGATGTAGTCGAACGCGTTGACAACTACACTTATCTTGGAAGTCTGATTAGTCCTAATGGGTTGTTGTTTGACGAAATCTCAGCACAAAATATAAGCAATCTTTCTTTTATATATTACCACAATTGAACTAACTACTTCTATGAATTTCGTGTTCATCCTGTTGTGCTAATGAGTGAGGTATGGCAACTTGGACCGACACATATATGTGCCTGGTGCTACGTTGAAGCTGACTGACTGAGTCTTTATAGAACGAAATTGTTTAATCTGACAGTCGATGATTTCATGAACTGATGCCAAGTCTTGGTTTGGTGGTTCTCTTACGCAATTTAATACCATGCGTGGCGGTATGTGGTGGTTAATGGTACTTAATACATGTTCCAACCATCTCATTTGACAAAAATTCATCACGTTATTAACCGACTCTATAGATTTTTCGACTACTCTATGCATAAACTATACCTTAATCACTTGACGGCCTCAAAAAAGTAACTATTCCCTCTAAATCATCTATAATCAAATAAACACTGTCAACATAGATGAGAGTTGACTTAACTCTCCATATCACATTAGTATGACCAGATGAAATTAAGATTGATTTCAAAGGCTATCGAAATAATGTAGTAGCTACGATAATGGGAACAAGTGCACATTCGTGATATAGTTCGATAAGACAGAGTGAGAATGTATGTGTATGAGAGAACACTGGAATTTAACAACAACAATTCGTAACCTACTAATGTCCTCTATTTTTGAAGGATACATTACACAGCTGTAATGTCGAACAACTAAGTCATGTTGTTCATAAAACATAACATCTCTTAAAGGTTTTAATTTGTCCCATGTGATCTTTATCAAGCATTAACATTATTAATCGATAGTAATATTGAAAACCAGCAGGAGAGAAGGAGAAGAATATGCAATATATTTTAATCTAGATTATGGGACAAAGCATTCGAAGAAAATCCACAAAATCAAATCGAATTAGAATTATTTTTAATTTATTCAAATAAACATAAACCTATGATCAGGTTGAAAAAAGCCCTCGAAATGCCCTGGTATGGTCGACGGTGGAGATAGTTAGCTCTCTCTCTCTTTCTAGAAATGTTCTCAAGTGGCCACGTGTATACAAACACGGTCAGGACAGTTCTACTCAATTAATTCTCGTGGTGGGGATGTTGCTTAGGGAATTGAAAAGACGAAAAACGAATGTCCAGCGCTTTAACCGGGTTGGTGGATACGGAGAATCCACCTAAGGGAATTGGAAAACTCTCATCACAAGCCACTGGTGCACATGGGCTACAGTATCCTGAGGGAACAAATAGCGTATGAATCAATCATTGGTCAACGGCTACCATGTGATTACATCTCCTTACGTTGCTCCACTGCCTTGTGGATCAAACCTTTAACTCGAAGGCTCCGGGTGTGGCCTCCTAAGAAAACCACCTGCTTCGGTTTGGGCACCCGGTCAGTATCACAACCCACATACAAATCAAGTGACTTGTGAGGTGCATATTTATTCGGTGCCCCTTTGTACCAATGTTTATGTGTTTAAATAAATAAACAATGTAACATAAATAAAGGGGATTTTGATAATAGAATTATACTTCAGGTTCTGGATTTCAGTATATACTTCGAATAACCTCAAGGTAAAGCACTTATTCAGTCTGAATAGAACAGTAATAAAATTTTTAACTATGACACTAAGGTGACTGTTATATCTCTATATGCTTACATTCTTGATATGACGCGTATAACTTGAACACTTGAACGCTAGAACCCTTCTAAATTACAATGAGAAGACAGAAGACTAGTAAAAGGAATATTATTCCAGACGGTGTCAAATTAGATTACAAACTGTCAGGTATTTATAGTTTTTAGTAAAAACGAAACAATTATTATAGCTATCCAATCCGCACACAGGGGGCTATTAGCATTGTTCAGTCGGGAAGTTACACATAGAGATTCTAGAATATTCTTCCAAAAGATGATTGAATGGAATATCTCCGGCTCTTTCTGAGCTTCTCAAGGCTTCCTCGAGTTCACCCGTGGACCGCCCTCATAGTGGCGTGAGTTCGAATACTATTGAATGTATCTATTTGATCAAGATTGTTTAAGTTTCAACTAACAAGTTATTTAAGGGTTCAATGATTCATGCTAATCTCTTTATACTATATAAGATCAGAAATAATTCAATGACTTTTAAATATCCATAGTTATTCTATGATGAAACGTACAGCCTACTATGGGAGAACAAACTGACTTCTGACAGAAGAGGAAATTAGGAAAACACGTTGGAAATGGATAGGACATACATTGAAGAAATCATCAAACTGCATCACAAAGCAAGCGCTAATTTGGAATCTAGAAGGAAAACGTAAAAGAGGAAGGTCGAAGAACACATTGCATCGAGAACTGGTAGCAGACATGAAAAGGATGAATATCTCAGAGGCTGAGACTTGCGTTCTGGACTCAACTAGCTGGGCTAGACAGGGAAGTGGGGCTAATCAGAACTCTAGGCCGCTCTTACGTGTTTACGCGTCTTTGGTCCGATCGATAATTCATTGCGCTCTAATCTGCAGTTCACAGATTGTCCAGGACAGAGTTGAATGGAAAATTCTGGTGAGTGGCCTATGCTTATCCACGAGAGGTAATAAGCGTAAGTAAGTAATGATGAAACGTTCATAGTCTAGTCTTAATGCATACTGAACTTCGGTGAATTTAAACGATTATTACTAACAACATAGATTTTGAAATGAAATAATTCAATTGTAAATTACAATTCCATGAACATTTCTTGGAAAATAACGTTGCTTTTTAATCCTTCTAGGTATAAACGGATAGTAATTTTCTAGCTTATTGTTCTTCGATTTGAATTTACATTAGGTAAACAGTATAATACTGATAACTTAAAACTGAATAAGGATAGCATCCAATTTGTTAGCGGGATATAGATTGGATAAAAGCATGTTCCATGTATGATCGCTTTGGTGCACACTGATTGGCTATTTCTCATTCAATCAGAGCTAGTCGATCCTTGAAGACTCTAGAATTTTCTCATGTAAAAACTATAAATATATTAATGTTCCTTTCATTGCGTTTCTTACTTCCGTTTACCTTTGTTATTTAGAATATAACTTCTTTCCTATTCAACCGTGTTCTGATTTAAGGACTTGTCGAGTGAATTGGTGTCCAAAAATAATTAGCAATAGCAATTCATAAGTCAATTGAAGCTAGATCATCATGGAATAGTTGGAATCATTGGACGACCATTTCGTCTTAGTATGAGACTCCTCAGTAGTGCGCAACCATAATCCCGCCTCATAAGATTCGAACCCAGAGCCTAACAGTCTCGTGTGTTTCTAGATTTTCTCCAGTGATCCAACTTCAATTGACTTATGAATTGAAGTATAAAATTACTAAAATCTTCATGAAAAACTACCTTCTGTTAGTTCTTTGTTTGGTTTTCTTTTTAACTCACACTTACTTTTCATAATTTATCATATTTTCTAATATAAGTGAAAATAGGTCACTTAATACAATATGAACATTCTTCTTCCAATCTCTGTGAAATAAAGAAAAATTGCATAAATTACGAAATGAATGATTGAATTATTCAGTTTGTTTAATGATTATAATTTTTGTTCCATTCACAAATACATGAACGGATGAATGTTAGTTCAGAATTGAAAAGTTGGAAGCATTTGAAAAATGTTTCGTCCTAGCATGACTCTTCAACAATGCGCATCAACGATCTCGCATGTGGGACTCAAACACGGGACATTCAGCCTCACAGGTGAATGCTTAAGCTCTAGACCACTGGGCCGGTATTTCGCGTGCTGGATCGTGGATGCGCACTGTTGAGAAATCCCAGACTAGTATAAAACAACTGTCCAGTACTTCTAGATTTTCAATAATGGTCTAAAATTCATCCATGATATCATTTAGAACTCAACAATCTTCACGATCCTATCACTGATAAATATGAATACTCTTCTGAAAAAAAAACAGGTTGAAACTGCTTGAATGTTATCAAAGTACTCTATATCATACATTTGATTAAAGAGAAGTATTATCAACATAATATACATAAACTTATAAAAGATGCCTTCTTTTCTTTAAAAATAATTATTCATTCAACTTAACATTCAAAAACATTTATTGCATGGGTTCGAGAGCAAATCAACTGTAGTTTCTTTAAAGAATAGCCGATGATGAAGAAGAAAACATATCAAACAATGTAATTTTACTAATTGGATTCCGCAGTATCTAACCTCGTAGCCTATTGTAAGTTTTATATCAAAGTATGTGAATATATTAGACTGTTAGCATACAAAATAATTTACTTGATAGAAATCTAAAGTTTAAAAGTTGATTTCATGAGTCAATTGAAACTAGACTATCATGAAAAACGTAGAAGCACTGAACTGCCGTTTCTTCCCAGTATGGAACTACTCAGTAGTACGCACCTACGATCCCGCCCAGCGGGATTCGAACTCAGGATCTATCGGTCTCACGCGCGAACGCTTAACATCTAGGCATCTAACAGTGTTAATTTTTTACTTCAACCAATCCAAGAAATTGAGCGACACATCCAGTATTGTCTTCAGTGAGATACTATCTCACAACAGATCTGGTTGAACTCCACTAGTCGCTCATTAATTACTATAATATCCACAAAACTCCTTTCTGATAGAAATCTACAGGATAAAAAATTATTGCAATTTAGATGTACAGTTTAAAAGTAACAAGCGACCCATAGCTTTGATCAGGGTTTATAACAATAAAAAGATTGGTATATGCTAGACATTACAAAAATCCTTCTGAACAGCTTACACCGTATGATATACTGGATCCATAAACAAAACAGTATATGAATCAGCACACGTTAAAAGATGTGACAGTAATATGTGTAATTCTGTGATCCAGTCAAAGTCGGTGTACTTGAATTTTATTTAAAAAATTTTTATGTGTAAGGACTGGTAATTTAACGTTTCTAGTGAAATTGAAACATCTGAAGGAGGATTGAAACCTAAACGTTTCGTGTTCAAACTTACAATTGATTGATCACTGGGTGATGATGAATGTCATTTATGTCGGTTCCTTCTTAGTGCAGATCGAATTCTATCGACCGAGTTGCGATGTGACCACCAGTCTAGGTGACTCGACATTGCATGCACTATGTTGAGACAAGATGGTGGTTAAAGGTAGTCAACAGGAAACCCTGGACTTAGGTTTCCTGCATCTCAGTCCTACATGAGTTCATTCGCGGACCGGATAGCTCAGTGGTAACGTCTCTGACTATGAAGCTAGGTAACATGGGATCGAGTCAGTACAAGAAAATATACACAATCATAGTTGTTTCAACATATTCACTCTTTCACTTTCCACCTAATTCAGAAAGTTCAACGAGTGCATGTTATCTATACACTCATTATTTAACTATGTTGTGCTTCTATAAGTTCGTTCTTTTTTCTGATTTCATCTATTCATTCCACTGGAATAGGAATTGATATGTAACAAAGACCAAACTTATATGAATCTCTTTACGTATGTTAAGCTACTACTACTCCACCAATATTATCATAGACAGTTTTTGTGTAATTATTTTAGTCGTTAGAATCGACGTTGGTTCAGAAGTCTGTTTTTGTTCATAATATACTCTCAAGGTGTCTTACTGACGCATTGAGCCAATTAAACAAAGGTTAAAAGATAATCCCACATTACTGAAAAAGATGTTTTCCTTTTCTAAGACAGAACATACCACTGGTTAGAGATGTGGATACGTGGTTTTAGGAAAGGGAGGAGAAAGGGTGTATATTTATAAATGAGTTTACATATAGACTTAATTCGGTTTTATTCCATAAAGCTTTTTCTGACTGTCTATGTTCTTAGTTTTTTATTTAATTAAATACATAAACTTTGGTACAAGGAGACACCAAAACGATATGTGCCACATAAATCATTCGATTAGTGTGAAAGCCGGGATACTGTCCGGGTGCCCAAACCGAAGCAGGTGGTTTTCTTAGGGGGTCACACCCCGAACCTTTGACGTAAAGATATAATCCTCAGGGCAGTGGAGCAACGTCAGAAGATGCAGTCTCATGGTAGCCGGTTACCAACAACAGGTTTATACGCCATTTTGTCCCTTCAGGATGCTAGAGTCCATGTGCACTATTGGTTTGGAATGAGGGTTTCCAAATTTCCTTAAGTGGATCATCCATATCCACTAATCCGGTTAAAGCGCCGGACATTACCCTCCAAATTTCGGGAACAATACCCCGGCCACGAGAAGGAAGCGAGTAGAACTATCCTGACAGTGGTTGTATGCACATGGCCACTTGAGAGCATCTCGAGAAAGAGAGCTGACTCTTTTCACTCTCGGCCGTACCAGACCATTTGAGGACTGTTGGTATTCTTACCCAAGTTTTATAAGAAGCTTATATTTCAGTATTAGACTTAGACACCACACAAAAAAACACTAACTTTAATAATAGATTAAATCAATTATACAGAAAAAAAGATCGACTAATGATAGAATAGATATTTAGTGTAACTACATGTCATAACTCTTTTAAATGAAGACCTTCTAACTTCCAGAACAGAGTTTATATGGTTTGAATCATTTTTTCTGGTTAGCATTTTTTTAACGAGTTAGTTTTCAACAGGATGGGGTCACTAACCTCACACCCAACCTTCTTCCTTTATCCGGGCTTGGGAGCAGCAAGAGTCCCATGGAGGGGGGACTCCAGGTGGAGTGTAACTACATACCTACTATATATATATATATATATATATATATATATATATATATATATATATATATATATATATATATATATATATATATATATATATATATATATATATATATTGATTAAGTCACATTATTGTAATATGTTATTCTTCCATTGCTTATTAGTAGTATGTAGGAATAATTTAAAAAAGTCACCTATTCTATGTTTTATGTAATCCAAACCAATTAAGTATGTATGTTTCAAGTGTAAGTAATTCTTTATCTAAATATCTACTTATATTAAACGTACGTATTTATACGAATACTCTTCAAGATTAAAACGAATAGTTTGACGGAAAGAAAATTATTAAAAATGAAAGAAAAGCTAAACTAGAATGTATACGAGAAGTTTGGAAGTACATTGTAGTCATACTTACTTACTTACTTACGCCTGTTACTTCTCGTCAAGGAGCATAGGCCGCTCACCAGCATTCTCCATACAACCCTGTCCTGGGCAATCCTTTCTAGCTCCGTCCAGTTGTAATTCATCGTTTTCATATCTGCTTCTATTATCCGACGCAATGTGTTCTTTGGCCTTCCTCTTTTTCGCTTCCCTTCAGGATTCCAAGTTAGCGCTTGCCTCATGATGCAGTTTGACGATTTGCGTAATGTATGTCCTATCCATTTCCATCGTCTTTTCCTAATTTCTTCTTCAGCTGGAAGTTGATTTGTTCTCTCCCACAAAAGGCTATTGCTGATGGTATCCGGCCAATGGATGTTGAGTATCTTGCGTAGACAGCTATTTATAAATACATGTACCTTCTTGATGGTGGTTGTTGTAGTTCTCCAAGTTTCAGCTCCATACAGTAGAACTGTGTTGACGTTGGTATTGAAGATTCTCACTTTGATATTGGTTGAAAGTTATTTTGAGTTCCATATGTTCTTTAATTGTAGGAATGCGACCCTTGCTTTGCCAATCCTTGCCTTTACGTCTGCATCCAAACCTCCTTGTTCATCGATGATGCTTCCTATGTATGTGAAGGACTCTACATTTTCCAGAGTTTGACCATCAAGAGTGACTGGATTGTTGTTTTCCGCTTTGAATTTGAGGACTTCGGTTTTCCCTTTGTGTATGGTGAGGCCTACTGATGCCGAGACTGCTGCTACACTGGCTGTCTTCATCTGCATCTCTTCGTGTGTACGTGATAGGAGGACTAGGTCATCTGCGAAGTCCAAGTCGTCTAATTGATTTCAAGCTGTCCATTGTATTCCGTGTTTTCCTTCAGATGTCGAGGTCTTCATAATCCAGTCGACCACCAGAAGAAAGAGGAAGCGAGAGAGTAAACAGCCTTGTCTGACTCCGGTCCTTACTTGGAATGCATCTGTCAGCTGTCCTCCATGCACGACTTTGCACTGTAGTCCGTCGTATGAGTTCCGGATAATGTTGACAATCTCCTCAGGAACTCCGTAGTGTCGAAGAAGTTTCCATAATGTCCTCCTATCTACACTGTCGAATGCTTTTTCATAATCAATGAAGTTTATGTATAGTGATGAGTTCCACTCAACTGATTGTTCGACGATGATCCGTAGTGTTGCAATTTGGTCTGTGCACGATCGATCGTTACGGAATCCAGCTTGTTGATCTTGAATTTGAGCGTCTACTGCATCTTTCATCCGGTTCAGCAACACTCTGTTGAAGACCTTCCCTGGTATTGACAGCAGTGTAATACCCCTGTAGTTTTCACATTTGCTCAGATCTCCTTTCTTTGGAATCTTGACGAGGTGCCCTTCTTTCCAGTCCATCGGCATTTGTTCCTCCTCCCAAATCT